ATCAACGTTGCAGACGTGTGGCTCAATAGACAAAGAGCCAAAGTCGCCATCTTTGTGTATTGCGGTCCGATATTTCCGGCGCACCATACTGTGATCAAGGTATTGCAAGGACCACTGAAGCAGGCGATTAGATACATTGCACCATAAGTAGTGCTTTTCGAATGAATATCGAAAAAGATCAAAAATTGGCCAATGGTGATCAACGACAAACGCGGCAAAAACAATGAATATCTCATCCCTTTTCGATCTACCAAAACTGCATAGATTAGCATGATGAAAACGGAAAGTGCTAATGGACCAGCGCTTAGAAGGTTAGTCTTTGCACCTTCATATTCCATCTCTTTGATGATCATTAGACCGAAATTGGCGATATTACTACTTGCTACTTGACTTGAGGCAGCAGTGATAGAATAAAGGCAAATCTTTAATTCGGTAAACGGGCGTAAAACTTGATGCCAAGTGAAATCATTCAACCTACGAAGAGGTTCAGATTGACGATGTAGATAAGAGATCCACATCTTCCTCTGAAAAGGTTGCAAAACAGGAAATAAACTTGGTCGTCAATCTTAAAGGATTTTACCTCTTACCATCTATCGAGCTTATTATATAATCGTTTTTTAGTAGAAATAAGATAAGAACTAATTTAGTATAAGTAAAACTTATAATAGTAATAATATATTAAAGTAAATTTATTACTAATAATAATTTTAGCTTTTTATCTATTAAATTATATATCTATAATATTAATCTATTTCTTTTAATTAATACTTTTTTATTTTAATATATATATTTAATAAGATTAATTTATATAATTATTATAATTATTTTTATTTTTTTAATAGTATTAATATTATAATTTAAAAATTATAAAAAAGTTTTTTAATTAAAATATTATATAATTTTAATTAAAAAATAAAAATACAATTTATTATTATTATTTATAAAATAAAATATTATTATAAAATTTTAAAATAAAAAAATTATATATAATAAATATATTAAAAAAATAAAAAAAAATTATTAAAATATTAGAAAAATAAAATAATTTAAAATTATTAAGTTATTAATAAAAATTATAAATAATAAATAATTTATTAATTATATTTTTTTTTTAGATTTTTTAATTAATTATTATAATTATTTTTTTATATTTAAAAATATTAATAATTATTAGATTTTTTTAAATATATAATAAATAAAAATATATCTTTTAATTAAATTTATATAAATTTTAATTATATATTATTATATAATTAAATTAAAAAAATTTATTTATTAATATATTAATAATTTTAAAATATATATAAGATTATTATAATATAGAAAAAAAGAAATTAAATTAAAATTATAAAAAAATATAAAAAGTTTAAATAATTTTTTTAAAAATATTTATTTTATAATTATTTTTCTAAATAATTAAATAATTATTTATAAAAAAAACTTATTATTTTTTTATATTATATCTTTTTATAAAAGTTTTATTTAATACTTTATAATTATATTATAGATTCTTATATTAATTTATTATCCTATTATATATATTAAATAAACTTTTATTAAATAATTTTAAATAAAAAACTTATTTATTAGAATATTTATTATTTTTTATATTTATCTAATTATAATAACGATTGAGAAGAGGAAATAAGGTGAAGGCGGACTACTCCGCTGATTCTATTAATCAACTCTATATAGCATCTTATGTTAAGTCCTTCATATCCTCTTTCTGTACTTCCTCTTTCTCAAGGCTCTCAGCCTGGATCTATTTACCGTTTCTCTTCTTCTCTAGAGACTGCCGTTGTTTGCTTGTAAGAGCCCGATGAATGCGAGTGTAGAGACATCATCAATGAAGAAATTTCGACCGGCTTCATCAACCTCACTTTAAATCAACCAATGATGACGTACTTTTTCGGTAATGTTAAACGGTTGCAAAGCCAAAGAGGGTGAGGTGAAAGCATAAGAACGATGGAAGAGGAAAGACAAATGTTGATGTCAAACGTGTGCCATTTCTTCTGTTGTCCTACTTGTTCGAATGTCATGTCATGATTCGATCTTGAGCGACGTACGAGATGATATTTCATGAATTTTGAAAGGTTTTCTTCCGATCGGAAGAAGAAGATATTGGCTGATTTAGGTCCTATTCAGGCGTTTGTACTTGCCAGCTCTTTTCATAAAGTGATACGGGTCCTGTTTATGTTGATTACCGCGATCAATGTTGAATGACGACTCGAAAAGAGAAGTGTGTGATGCTGATTGTACGATGGGTGGATCTCGAATGAAAAGAGAATGATATCGGTTGAATAAGAAGTCATCTATAAATGAGAAGTGGATAATTCCGTTTGAATGAGGAGTGATTCTCGAATCATAAGAGATTGATACCGGTTAACTGAGATTGATGCCGGTTGAATGAGATGTGATCATCAAGTGAGAAGAGAATAATGCTGCTTGAATGAGCTATGATCCACGAACGAGAAGTGGATGATGCCGCTTGAGTGAGAACGCATATGAGATGGCGTTTATTGAATTTTCAGAGGTTTCACCGGTGCATCAATGGAAGACCTTGGTTGGTCAGGGTTGTATGCCGGTGTTTGCACTTGTGAGGCTTTTCTTGTGAAGTGAAGTGATGCTATGTTTGCTTGTATTTGAGTGCCATAGTTATTGTGTTGTGAGGAATTTGTGATGCTGACTGAATAACAAGTAGGTCTTGAATGATAAGTGGGTCTTGAATGACAAGTAGGTCTTGAATGACAAGTAGCTCTTAAATAACAAATGGATGATGGTTGGAATGAGATTGGGTGGTGGGGGTTACGGTCGATCCGAAAAGGCGGATTATATATAATGTACCTTTCATCTATTCTACTCATTTTGGACCTTGTATGTGTACGCCTGGATTGTCGAGACGATCTGGTGTGAAAATCTTGTTATATGCGGCCTATTTGGATATTCGCTCCTATACTACTATATCTGACGAACATTGAGTTGGGGAATCCAAAGCGAACTATCGTGAACAATATCGAGATTCGAATCGATCGATTTGGCTAGCGAAGGCGTTCTATATCTATTACTATATCGAGCTAGCTGTGTGCTGTAAGGGAAAAGAAAGGCAGAGAACTATCTATATAAATTCTCAATAAAGTGAACCCTCTACCATCTGTCGAGCTTATTGCACGGTATTTCCATAGGCTGGATGGAAGCATAGATGCTCAGAACGGAGTCAGATGGGCGCCTTTTTGCGAAGGGAGAGCGTGTGGAAGTGGGTGGTGGTTCTGGGATGAATTTGAAAAGGGAATTCGAGTATTCATACAAAAGACAGACCTCTCTTCTTAACAAACGGGTCGATTGGGGATAGTAGTATACATGATTACTCTTATAAATACACAATTATGCCTACACCGCTACGTACAGCTTTTGATTAAGTCTTCAACCGAGACTGGATCGAATTGGCTCCGCTCTGACTTGCGTTCAAGGAAGATGACATCATCCTCAAGGTAAAATGTCAAGCCAGCCTTGCCATCAATCGCGCGTGAAGTGCGATAAAGGGGCATTCCACTTCTCATGTCGGTCTTATTGAGTGATTGAACGATCAAATCAGCCTCTGCAGCCGATTCTTCGACAATTTGACGGAAACTGGCTGTGCTCGTGGTTCCCTTTCCATAAATCTCATTGTTCCTCTTTTTCTGCTCTTCTGCCATCTTCTATACCCTTTGTTCTTCTTCATCCGTTTGGTCCGAAACTTGCGTTGGAAGTGAAAGTCCGTATACTTGTCTGTCTCACATCCATCACAGCTAATTGATATTCCCCGTATTCAACATTTAAGCATTGTGAAAGCTAGTTATACCCTCAATATCGTTTATTTCTACCCTTTTGGAGCCTTCATCCTTAGTTCACCTCCAATTGGGAGAACATGTGTGATCCATTCCTGCTGATAGATTGTGCGCACATCCACTAATCTTCGTCTCCTTTCGTATAGGGTCACAGCAACATCGTATCTACCGCAATTGGAAGTCCATCTGACAGACATTGACTATCTATTTGGACTTGTACATTGTGGGTTCATCTTGAGATTTGGTCATGATGCGAAAACGAGCAGAGGTTGACCATTTCCGTACTTCTTTTGGACCTTAACCATTCCCATCACGAACGCTAATCTGGAAGAATTCGAAGTAAAACCATCTTGAACAATGTTGAGGCTCGAAACGGTCATATTGACGAAAGAAGGCTTTCCATGCTGCTGGGAAAGAAGGGGAGATAATCATCAAAAAAGAACCCTCTACCATCTGTCGAAACTTAGGGAGGCATGAATGCTCAGAATGGAGTCAAATGGGCGCATTCCTGCAAAGAGCTGCGTCTGGAAGTGGGTGGTGGTGGTGGTAAAGTAAGTTTGAGCAGGGGAGTCAAATATTTGTACAATTCTTAGGTGTACACGATTTGCAGGATTTCATCGAATTCATGCGTTTGCGTGCCGGCACTCAAGATTAGCAAACGAGGCCGCTCCAAAGAGCACAACAAAAGATTCTTTTTCTTCTATTGTGTACGTCACATAGGCAGATCAGATGACCAATGTTCGTCAGATGGACTTTGAATGGTGTGATGTTACTGTCCAACGGGTAGGAGGTTGTATAGCAATGAGAGTGTATGCATCGGAAAGCGGACAGAAAGGGTAACATTGCTTTTGTATAGCCTCAATTGCAATTACACCCAGCTCTTTATGAGCGACTTCATAATATAACTCATATAGATGTTAGGTATAGCTCATGCTCTTGCTGAAGGTGGTGAACGAATGGTTTTTGCTGCCTATGGCGGCAAAATTTCCAGCAGCGATGATGAACGTGCTCGTCTACTTGATACTTCTGAACAGCTTCCCGATCTAGCAGCTGGAATCACTGCTCCAAAGAATAAGCCCAAACCAACAATACACGTTCAATCCTAGAATCCATTCTCCAGAAAGGCTGATGCAATCAATCTGCTGGAATCACGATTTCGAGTATATGACAAGGCAGTGAGACGGTTACGCTCCAAAGGCAGCAAGGCATCTTTTGTCGGATTTGTGACATTTGTTGATGCGATGAGTGCTCAGGTTGTTGCTCAACCAGTTCATTACCCGATCTCGGGCTATTGCAAGACAAGTCCTGCACCTGAACCTCGTGATATCGTTTGGAGTAACGTTTCCGTTCCCTCGAACGAGAGACGTGTTCGACAACTTCTGGTTTCCGCCTTTACGATTGCTTTATTCGTCTTCTTTATTCCGCCATTGACGTTCCTTGCTTCTTTGCTCAGTCCAAACACCATCAAGAAGTACTTACCCGGTCTGTATGATCTTTTACGCAAGAATAGACGATTGGAAGCACTGGTCAGCACCAACTTGCCGTCCGTTGTTTTGATCGGATTCAGCGCTTTATTACCACTCATCCTCGAATGGACAGCATATCTGCAAGGTATCAAAGCGAGTAGCTTGATCGAAATGAGCGTGTTGAAGAGGTATCATCTTTTCTTTATGATATCCGTCATCTTCATTTTCCTCATCACATCGACCGCATTGGGGGTACTCACAGATCTGGCTGGCAATCCGATGAGAATCATAGATAAGCTCGCTCAATCTTTACCACAAGGACGTCATTTCAATTTGTCGTACGTGGTGTTCCAGTCGTTGGCCATCATACCGTTGCAGCTTCTACAATTACCGGTCACATTTGGTCGTGCGTTTGGTCAACTGACGGCAAAGACATCTCGTCAACATGCTGAGCTGAATGCTTCACCTCAACTATACTCTGGAAGTGTGTATCCTGCCGCTTTGATCGTTTTCACATCGGGTATTCTTTACAGCATTGTCACACCATTGATCACCGTCTTTGCAATGATCTACTTTGCTTTGGCATATTTGGTGTATAAGTACAAGCTTTTGTTCGTTTTCTACCGATCATACGAATCAAGAGGACAAGCATGGCCTTTGTCATCGATGCGTTGCATCTGGGCTCTATTGCTCTTCCAAATATTCCAACTTTCCCTCTTTTCGTTTCGCAAGCAATTGCTATTATCGAACTGGACGTTGCCTTTGATCGCTTTCACATTTTGTGCGAGCGGAAGCGTTGGATGGAATTGATCCAATTGAGACAGTATTATCACGAAAGTGGTACTCGACAAAAGATGAAACATTGTTCAGTGCACGAAAAGATCGTCATACAGATTGCAGAGAACCTCCGGCAGCGGGCTACTGTTATGGAATCTTGAACACCGGGCGGAGACGGTATGGACATCCTGCCGTTGCTGGTACATTGCCAGATATCTGGCCTTCAGTATGTGTAGGTGATGACAACGAGAAAGATGACAACGAAAAAGATGACAACGAGCAAGATCAAAGCGTCTCTCAATCAGACACTGCTGGCTTACCTGCCGATAATAGCGATCAGGGATCATTGACGGGCGTTGGTAGTGTGCTGGGAAGAACACGAAGACAGAGCAAACCACACGAAGCTGTTGTGGTCTCTTTACGAAAGCGCAAATCATCTTTGATACCTTCGTCAAGTCTGTCAAACGTCTCTGTGCGTAATCGTAAAATGTCATCGCAAGAAGCAGGTGGATCGGGAATCAGTGGATTGCCAGCTTCTACCAGCACTTCTACCGATGTCGCCGATAAATTATCCGTCACATTTCCTCAACGAACACAAAGACGGCCACAAGATACCCTGGATGAATCATGTGAGGAACCAGATCATCAGCATGAAGATCCAAGTCAAGTGTGGGGAGCAAGCAGAAGTCGTTTGCCGTCTACAGCAGAACAAATAGAAGATGAGGGTCAAAGGATTGACGAACCACAACACCTTGATACCGGTACGGGTGATGAAGACGAAGAAGACGAATCGGAAGAGACCGCGGGCGTCTATATGCATCGTAACTTACGTCAAACGATGCCTCCAGGCTCATTCCCTGGTTTTGAAGATTAGAGGATTCGCATATGATACCTAACGTTGTATGATCACGACGTCACACATAGGAGGATGGGAAGAATTCAGACAAACACACCTTTTGTCTGCTTCCCGATGCATATACTTTCTTTGCTTTACAACCTTTTGCCAATTGGTCAACTACTATACCACTCTAAGTCCATCTGACAGCCATTGATTATCCATTTGGACTTGTACGTTGTGCTATCATCTTGAGACTTGGTCATGATGCGAAGATGAGCGGAGGTTGACTATTCTCGCACTCCTTTTGGGCCTTAATCATTCCCGTCAAGGACGTTGTGCTGGGAGGATTCGAAGTCGAAGTAAACCATCATTGTTATTTGAATAAAGTCGAGGCTCGAAACGGACAATTTGACGAAAGGAGGCGCCCCATTTACGTATCTATGTCGATGTATCTGTAATATGTGGGAAAGAAGAGGAGAGAATCTTCTGTCTAGCATCTTAAAATAGAGAACCCTCTACCATCTGTCGAACCTTTTGCATGATGCTTTCATTTAGCCCAGGGAACCATTAATGCTCAAAGTGTAGTCAAATGGGCGTAATTTGCGAAGGGACAGCGTGTGGAAGTGGGTGGTGGTAAAAGGATGAATTTAAAAAGGGAAAGTCAAGTATTTATGCAAAAGGCGAACCTCTCTTGGATGCACATATTCTACAAACTTTTCATAATTCATGCGACCATGTGCTAATACATATGATTGTATCCTTCTATTGTGTATATCACATAGGCAGAGCAGATAATCAATGTCCATCAGATAGACTTTGAATAGTATGACTTACTGTCTAACGGGTAGGAGGTTGTATAGCAATGAGAGTATATATATCGAAAAGAGGATAGAAGGGTAACAGTGCTTTTATATAGCCTTAGTTACCCCTATCTTTATATAAGCGATAATATAATATATCTTATAAGGATACTAGGTATTATTAGAATAACTTATATAAGTCGACTAGTCTTAAAAACTAAGAAATAAGTATAAAAGATAATTTATTATAGTTTACTATATTTGTAGATATCTATTATCTCTTTAGATTTATCTTTTTTATCTTTATTATATATATTAATATTAATATATTTATATCTTAATTATTAATATAATAATTAAAAATATTATAATTTTTTAATATTAAATTTAATAAAAATATATATTTAAAATATAAAGATAATAATCGTTATATAAGATTTTATAAATCTAACTTATTATTATTTAATTATCTTTAAAGATAAATATATATTTAAATAACTAATATAGTTTATACTCTTATATTATATAATCTTAAAGATAATAGAGAATTTTAAAATATTAATATATAAGGATTTTAGAGAGTTAATATATAACTTTTATTTATAGACTTTAAATATTTTCTTTTTAAATAAGATATAAATATATAATTAAAAGATTTAATAAAGTTTAAACTTATAATAAATATAAAATTTAAAAAGATTAAAATATAAAATAATATTTAAAAAGATTAAAATATAAAATAATATTTAAAAGATTATTTTTATAAAATAAATATAAATTATATAGATAATAGAAAAAAATATAATTAATATTAAAAATTATTATTTATATATATTAAAAGAAATTTACTTTATTAATTATTTATATATATATAAAAAACTAGTTAAAATTTAAGATATCAAAATTTTAATAGATAAAAATAAAACGATATAATTATATTATTTATATTTTAATTTATTTATTTAATTTAAGATCTAATATATTTTATTTATTTTTTAATATATTATTTAATCTTTTTAATTATATTATATAAGTTATCTTTTATTTTAAATATTAAAATATTTTAAATAGTTTTTTATATAAGATTAATTATAAACTTTATAAGATATTTATCTTTTTAAACTTTTTTAAAAATAGATTTTTATATTATTTTATATTTATTAAATTAATTATTTAATTTTACTTTATATTAAGTTATTTCTTCTTTATATTTAATATAATTACTAGTAATTATATTATATTAATATAAAGGAAAGATCTTTAATCTCTTTAATAAGATTATATTAATATATTTTTCTAACGATAAATATATCGTATATACCTATACTTCAGTGCCTTATATTATCTTTTCTTCGTCGAAAAACATTTTTACAGGGAAATAAGAGATAAAAATGTTACTCAAAAGACCTTAAGTATTCATCACGAATAAATAAAAAAAGTCACACTTTATCAAATAGCGTTTAAAGTGCCCCGTAAAGTACGTTCATAGGGCTTAACATCTTAACAAACAGGCTGATTGGGGATAGTAGTATATATGATTATTCTTATGAATACACAATTATGCCTACATTACTATGCATAGCTTCTGATTAACTCTTCAACCGAGACTGGATCGAATTAGCCCCGCTCTGACTTGCGTTCAAGGAAGATGACATCATCCTCAAGGTAAAATGTCAAGCCAATTTTACCATCAATCGCGCGTGAAATGCGATCAAGGGGCATTCCACTTCTTGTATCGGTCTTATTGAGTGTTTGAACGATCAAATCAGCCTCTGCAGCCGCTTCTTCGACAATTTGACGGAAACTGGCTGTGCTCGTTTCTTGGCGAGATGGTTTTGATCTTGACTTTTTGATTGTTTAATCAGCTTTGTATTTACGCTGTAACTGTTTTAGATCTGGCATCTTGAGTGACAAGCGATCAGACCGTAGAGCATCATCCATCATCTGTAAAGCTGCTTGGAAACCGATCTACACGCTTTCCAATCTGTCGACGTGCTTCGTTTCAAGGTATGACTTCCACTTGCTATACCAATCTGCAACCTCTACTGTATCGCTGTTCGGATTGGTGAGTATCGCATGCATCTGTTCAAGCCAATTGGGTATAAAGCCTGTTAACATGACTTCGGACAACATTCTACTGCCCAGCAAAGGCATCTATTGTAGAACATCCTTCAAAGGCTGTCTATCTTGCGCTCGAGGGTTTGCAGTGATTTTGAGCTCCTTCCTCAGATATGTTGACAGCTTCTCTACCACATACTCTAACAGCATCGAATCCCATTCGCTTGTACGGAAAACATCTCTCCATTTACGCAATTCCGATAGGATACCCTTTGAGACTCTCCATGATTTAAGTGATGAACGAATTCGCCTTTTTGCTTCTGAGATGATATCGTCCATTTGGTGATGTAAGAGCGGCATCCATAGGAACACAACTTTATATAAAGCACTCTTGCCATCCCAATCAGAAACAGCAGAGCGCAATTTAGGAAGGATGAGTTGATCGGTGACATTGTCGCGAATGAAAGCCGGTAAGAGGGGTGTCCAAGATTTATAGAACTTCATTACTGCAGTCGAACCGAATACGTCCCATTCATTGTTTAATGCAGATCGCACCGGTGGCATCCAAACATTTCACAGAAGAGATTGATATAGCGTCATGATCTCTTCCTTGACTGAAATGCGAAGGGCACCACTGATGCTCTTCAGAGGGATGCAAAGCCGGGTAAGATCTTGCAGCAATGACCATTGAGATAGCCAACGCTTGAAGATCGGGACAATTGCTCCAACAAGCGCTGCATCGATTTCCAGTTCGGCGATGGCATCTCTATGGCGTTGTAGGATGTCCTGCACTGGTTACATGAAACTATCCAAGCCGATCTTAGGGTCAATTGCAGCACGTTTTCCAAGCACCTCAATCTCTCCAACGATTTTGGCAATAGTATCTACACGATCGTGCTTGGTAACAAGATTCTGTTTGCGACGTACGGCTTCATGCAATTCACGCTCGAGCCACTTATGACGATCTTGAATAGCTGACCCTTCATTTGCTAATAGGTCGAGACTTTTCGAATTTCCATCACAGATGAGCCGAAGATTATGTCGAATCTCGATCAATTGTGTGCTGTCATTTGACGGGACAGCATGTTTTGCAAGGGCAGCGGATAGAGATGAATACTCTTTACCAGTAGCATCAACGATGATTTGATTCTCCCCACTTGAAGCAACATTATGGCCATGTTCTGCCAAGATTTGTTCATAGGTACGATGTTCAATTTTTGGCTTTCGCGATTTACGTTCGGGTTTTGTCTATGCGTGAGTTTCAGCTTTTGATGAAAGCTTTTTGGCTCTTGCACTTCTTCTCTCTTTGTGCTCCTCATCTGAGCTGACTTGTTCACCACGTCTACGTGCTTCTTCTTTTGCTTGTTTCGTCTTTTCTTTAATACCGCCAAACGCTATACCTGGACGTTCCGGTCTTTGTTTGACTTCGATCGGTTTTACGATACCTTCGCCTTGTTTACCAAGACCACCTCCAGACCAACCCATCTGAGCGAGGTACTTTGCCGGATCAAACTAGCCACCTCCAGTTTTGAATGAGATCTTTGGTACCTGGCCGGTGAAAGTATTGGTTTTGCTTGCTTGTGATGCTCGCTGTGAGAAAGCGGAAGACGGTGGTGCATCCTGCTGAAGGGTGCTCGTCTCATTGGACATTTTCGGAGAATCTTTCGCAGGCATGAATTGATTCAACGAGCTCATTCTCGGTGCTGCGCTTCCAGAAGGTTCTGCATCTATGCCTCTACTGCTTCCTATTCCAGCCCTTCCGATACCTGCCCTTGGTAGCGCTCGGTCATCTTCGTCATTATTGTTTGGCTCCCTTTGGCTAGCCCCGATGCCCAATCTTGAAGAGCCTATCCCACCTCTAGATGAAACGAATTTTGCTGGCTTAAATTCGCTGCTCTTTGTGAACCCCTGATCCGTCATTGTGGGCGCCGTATTGAAAGCATTGCGCATCTCAATCTCCTCTTCCTCTTCAGCAGCTATGCGAGCAAATCGTTCCATTTCAGAATAGCTAGAGTCAGCTACACTCTGATCCCTGTCAGATTCGCTCACATCCATTTTACAAGTACAACGGTTGAGTTATGGTACAATGTTTGTGCATATAGTCTATCGATCCTATCGTTGGATTCCTGCGATACGCCATTGCTCAAATTGATCTTCTACGCACCGTAGAAGACTGATCGGGCCACCATCGTTCACAGCAACGGTTATGTTCCTGCGTCCCAATCTGAGTGGTCCATAGACGGTGACGAGTCGGTTTTGCTGTCCATAGCGTTGTGCATGACAGCCTTTTGTCCTCCTCGGCACTTGATAGCCAGTCGAAAGTAATGCCAAAAGGGTCGAGATGAAGCCCAGTAGCCCAGCGAATCGATGCCATATCCTCTCGATGGGTCTGATCTGTGAGATGATGGCACCATCTTGACCCTGTGCATGTGCCTGCTTGTCTCATGGCTCCCCTTTCCGATAAATCTTATTGTTCCTCTTTCTCTGCTCTTCTGCCATCTTCCATACCCTTTGTTCTTCCTCATCCATTTGGTCCGAATCGTGCGTTGGAAGTGAAATTCCGTAAATTGTATGTCTCACGTCTATTACAGCTAATTGATATTCCCCGTATTCAACATTTAAGCACTGTTAAAGCTAATTATACCTTCACCATCGTTTATTTCTACCCTTTTGGAGCCTTCATCCTTAGTTCACCTCTAATTGGGAGAACATGTGTGATCCATTCCTACTGATAGATTGTCTGCACTTCCACAAATCTTCGTGTCCATTCGTATAGGGTCACAGCAACATCGTATCTACCGCCTTTGGAAGTACATCTGACAGACATTGATTATCTATCTGGACTTGTACATTGGAGGTTTGTCTTGAGATTTGGTCATGATGCGAAAACGAGCCAAGGTTGACCATTTTTGTACTTCTTTTGGGCCTTAATCATTCCCATCACGAACGCTAATCTGGAAGAATTCGAAGTAAAACCGTCTTCAATAATGTTGAGGCTCGAAACGGTCATGTTGACGGAAAAAGCTTTCCATGCTGCTGCGAAAGAAAGGGAGATAGTCAATCATACAGCATCTCACAAAAGAGAACCCTCTACTATCTGTCGAACCTTAGGGAAGCATGAATGCTCAGAATGGAGTCAAATGGGTGCATTCCTGCGAAGAGCTGCGTGTGGAAGTGGGTGGTGGTAGTGTCAAAGTGAGATTGAGCAGGAAAGTCAAACATTTATATAAATCTTGGGTGTAAAAGGGTGGAGGTAAACTAACAAAAGAATAAAGTTTACTATCATTCTTATTTGACCATAACATAACAATGTCCTCTAGATACGGTGATCGTGTACCTGCATGTAGTTATCGTGACTTGGATCGAGAACGAGATCGCAGAAGCGTGAGTCCTTTTAGACATGGATATAATCAGGATGAAAGAGAAAGAGATGGAAGGAGGTACGATCGAAAAAGTCCACAAAGAGATTATCGAAGAGAAGCAACATCTTCACGTCATGAAGATCGTCATGTAAGAAGAGATGATCGTTATTCTCAACGAGATGGCTATCACAGAAGAAGGGATCCATCTCCTCCCACACGACAAGCAAGAAGGGATGAAGAAGAGCGTAAACAGAAACGACAAAAAGAGAAAGAAGAAGAAGAAGAGCAGCAAGTATCACTGGCAGCTGCTGATGCTAAAGCAAAGCAAGAACTAGAAGAAAGAGCTCAAAATGGTGATGAAGATGAAGAAGATATGATGAAAGCGATGGGATTCGGTGGATTTGGTACAAAAAAGGTGAGTAGAAGTGTGTGGGTGCGGGTCATTTAGATGTAAGTCACTGACACAATCATTCTCCCATAGGGTAAAAAAGTACAAGGCAATCAAGCGGGAACGGCAGAAGTACGAAAAGAGTGAACATGGAGACAATATATGCAACGTAAAGGTGGATTTAATCGACCATTGTCACCTGTTCGCAAAGGATAGATCAGTGGAGACAAGCAAATGCAGATGGATGATGTCAGCCAAGACGTTCAAATTGGAAACCGTTGGGAAGCCATCTTGTGCGTGGGTTGCATTGCCGTTTTAGATTTTGCACTTGTAAAGTATCCGACTGGTTCATGACACGTCAAGCGAAGGATCTTTCTGTGGATCATATTGATTTGCAAAACAAGTATTCAACCGATCGAAGTGGTTTGGCAAAGCAAGTCATCAAGATTGCCGCTGGCTAATATCCACCGCTTGAACAGTTCAATGCGGTCATTGCGAATTTGGACGTAATTGTCAGCTTTGCATTCGTTTCGTCACATGCACCTATACCTTATGTTCGACCTCAGATCTTCGAAATGGGCAAGAGCGCACCTATGATCGTTAAAGAAGCACGTCATCCTTGTCTCCAAGTGCAAGATGATCTCAACTTCATTCCGAATGACGCTGAATTGGTTGCCGACGAGAGCGAAATCTTGGTGATCACAGGTCCTAACATGGGAGGAAAGAGTACATACATTCGATCGATCGGAATCATCGGTTTGATGAGTCAAGCAGGTTGTTTTGTTCCATGTGCTCCAGGTGCAAAAGTTCCGATATTTGATGCTATCCTTGCTCATGTTGGAGCAGGTGATAATCAAACAAAAGGTGTTTCAACGTTTATGGCTGAAATGTTGGAAACATCTACGATCCTGCGATTGGCAACACGTGATTCCCTCATCATCATCGATGAACTCGGTCGTGGAACATCAACGTATGATGGTTTTGGTCTGGCATGGAGTATTTCAGAATTCATCGCTTCAAAGATTCGCAGCAAATGCCTCTTTGCAAGTCACTTTGCTGAAATTGTCGCATTGGCAGACCAGATTAGACATGTGCAAAACTTACACTGTAAGGTTCATGTTGAACCACGTCACGACTCGCAAGCATTAGAGAAGGAAAGCGAGATCACACTGCTATACAAAGTGGAGCCGGGAATCTGTGATCGCAGATACGGCATTCATGTAGCTGAATTGGCCGGGTTCAGTGTGATCAAATTGGCCAAACGCAGAGCAGAAGAAATGGGAAGACATTGACGGGGAGATTTCTCCACTGCTCACCGTGGATGCGAAAAGTACGGAAGAGGGTATGAAGATTATTGAAGAATTCATGCGTGCTTTCGCTTCCAACAAGAGAATGCGTTCGGATGGGACGGAGGTCGAATCTCTTTCATCACTTGTTGCTAAATATCGTGAGCGTTGCGGCGAGAATGCTTTTGTACAAAAAGTGTTGGAGAGCTTGTAGGGGGCGAGAAAGAAACATTGTACAATATAACAATTATTGAATAATCTATCATCTTATTTACCGATAAGCTTTCATTGCCGAATTCGGTGAATGTGTGTGAACGGGGCGTAAAGGTGATGGTTGTTGTCCATGACAGCATCTGTCAACTTGACGAAAGAAGGCGCTCCATTTCCGTATCTATGTCGATGTAGCTGTATTATGTGGGAAAGAAGAGGAGAGAATCATCTCTGTAGCATCTCACAAAAGGAGAACCCTCCACCATCTGTCGAACCTTTTGCAAGATACTTTCGTCCATCCATGGGGAATCACTCGCCCAGATTCAGGAGCATCAGATTCAAGGAACGGAGTCAGATAGGTAACTTTTGAGAGGGGAGTAGTGTGTGCGTAGAAAAGAGAACCCTCTACCATCTATCGAACCTTTTGCAAGATACTTTCATCCATCTATGGGAAATCACTCGCCTAGATTCAGGAGCATCAAGTTCAAGGAACGGAGTCAGATAGGCGACTTTTGAGAGGGGAGTAGCGTGTGAGTGGAAAAGAGGGAAAGAATAAAAGACCCTTACCCTTCACCATCTGTCGAGCTTGTTGCATGATACTTTCATCCAGCCAAGGGATACATCAATGCTCAGAACGGAGTCAGATGGGCGCATTTTTACGAAGAGCTGCGTATGGAAGTGGGTGGTGGTAGTAGGATGAGTTTGAAAAAGGAAGTCAAGTATTTATACAAAAGCTGAACTTCTCCTGGGTACACACATTCTGTAGACTTTTTATGAATCATACGACCATGAGCCAGCAGATATAATTATGGTAAAATGGAATTCGGCAAGCGACTCTTATAGTAGTGACATGTCGAAGCTAATCCATTGTGTCAGATCTATCAGATGAGGAGTACGCGCAACATATCATTTTCACGTTGGACTGTAGAACTGACTTTCGAACTATACTCTACCCGTCCATAGAGTTCAACAAACAATTTTTGCCTTTTCCATTGTGTATATCATGTATGCAGAACATACAAACAGTGTCTGTCAGATGGATTTCCAATGGCGGTGGATGCTATTTTTAGTTACAAGTATACCTCGTCATTTACAGCCTGTCAGATCCGTTGGGTCTTATGTACTGTCCTTTGAACCTGATGTACCGTCCATTGGATTTGATGTACCGTCCGTTGGATTTGATGTAGCATCCGTTGAAATTGACTTGCCATCCGTTGAAAATGATGTACTATCCGTTGAACCTGATGTACCGTCCATTGAATTTGATGTAGCATCCGTCGTGATTGACTCATCATCCGTTGAAAATGATGTACCGTCCATTGGATTTGATGTACCGTCCGTTGAATTTGATGTAGCATCCGTCGTAATTGACTCATCATCCGTTGAAAATGATGTACCGTCCATTGGATTTGATGTACCGTCCGTTGGACCTGATTTGCAACATCTACTTTGATATCAGGATAGCATCAGTAGTGCATTTCCATGAAATTGCATAACAATGTACAAGCTTTTTCGTCTGACTACAAACATTTAAAAGGAGGCCTTTTTTGAAAATTGAAATTCCCCCCCCCCCCCTCCCATTCATTCTTCCTTACATACACCAATTCTCCTCTTACGTTTTGCTTCAACACCCACCACCACCACCTCTTACACCCACCAATTCTCCTCTTACGTTTTGCTTCAGCACTCACCACCACAACCTCTCCGCTGTAGGTCCTTCAATCATTACAACGAAAGCACGGCCGATAGAATGACGATCACGATGACGATGACGATGAATATGACGATGAAGATTACGATGAAGATTACGATGAAGATGACGATGAAGAGGATGATGACGACGATGATCAGAAGAAGAATGACAATAATGAGGAAGATGGTGGTCGTAGTGGCTGTGTAAAGATACTTAATGTTTGTTAATGAGATGTAGTCATGCTGTCGCCTATCAAAGGATGGGCAAAATGAGTGCGTTGTGAGAACTTAGTTAAGGGATCGGATGTCTATGACACGATCATAAGTGTGTGTGGCCATGAGGTAGTGTGGCCATGAGTGAGTGTGGCCATGAGTGAGTGAGGCCATGAGTGAGTGAGGCCATGAGTGAGTGTGGCTATGAGTGAGTGTGGCCATGAGTGAGTGTGGCCATGAGTGAGTGTGGCCATGAGTGAGTGTGGCCATGAGTGAGTGTGGCCATGAGCAAGTGTGGCCATGAGCATGTCTGATCAAGACGGAATGCATGCCATAAAGTACATTGACTAAAAGTACAACGGTTGAGTAATGGTCTATCGCCCTGTTCGTTGGATTCCTGCAAAACGCCATTGCTCAATTTGATCTTCTCCGCACCGTAAAAGAATGATCGGGCCACAATCGTTCACAGCAACGATTATGTTCCTGCGTCCCGATTTGAGTGGTCCATAGACGTTGATGAGTCGGTTCTGCTGTCCACCACATTAGGCATGACGGCCTTTTGTCCTCCTCGGCACTTGATAGCCAGGAGCAAATTGTGCAAAAAGGTTCGAGAGGAAGCCGAATAGCCCAACTCATTAATGGTATATCCTCTCGATAGAGCTGGTCTGTGAGAGGATGGCACCATCTTGAAATCGTTCCTGTGCCTCTTTAGCCTGTCTTTGTGCTTGAGCTTCTCTCGTAGCTCCCTTTCCATAACTCTCATTATTCCTCTTTCTCTGCTCTTCTGATATCTTCCATACGATTTGTTCTTCATCTATTTGGTTTGAATCTTTCGTTGGAAGTGAAAGTCCGTAAACTTGTATGTCTCACGTCCATCACAGCTAATTGATATTCCCCGTATTCAACATTCAAGCACTGTGAAAGCTATTTATCCCTTCACCATCGTTTATTTCTACCCTTTTAGAGCCGTCTTCCTTAGTTTACCTCCATTTGAGAGAACATGTGTGATCATTCCTCCTGATAGATTGTCCGCACTTCCACCAATCTTCGTCTCCTTTCGTAAAATGACACAGCAACAACGTATCTACCGCCAGTGGAAGTCCATCTGACAGACATTGATTATCTATTTGGACTTGTACATTGTGGGTTTGTCTTGAGATTTGGTCATGATGCGAAAACGAGCAAAAGTTGACCATTTCCGTATTTCTTTTGGGCCTTAATCATTCCCATCACGAACGCTAATCTGGAAGAATTCGAAGTGAAACCATCTTAAAAAATGGTTAAGGCTCGAAACGGTCATGTTGACGAAAGAAGGCTTTCCGTGCCGCTAGGAAAGAAGGGGAGATAATCATTTATACAGCATCTCATAAAAGAGAACCCTCTACTATCTGTCGAACCTTAGGGAAGCATAAATGCTCAGAATAGAGTCAAATGGGCGCATTTTTACGAAGAGCTGCGTGTGGAAGTGGGTGGTGGTGGTGGCAAAGTGAGATTGAGCAGGGGAGTCAAATATTTATACAATTCCCGGGTGTACACGATCTGCAGGATTTTTCGAATTCATGCGATTGCGTGCCAGCACTCAAGATTAGCAAGCGAGGCCGCTCCATAGAGCACAACAAAAGATTCTTGTTCTTCTATTGTGTACGTCACGTAGGCAGAGCAGATAGCCAATGTTCGTCAGATGGACTTTGAATGGTGTGATGCTACTGTCCAACGGGTAGGAGGTTGTATAGCAATGAGAGTTTATGCATCGAAGAGCGGACAGAAGGATAACAGTGCTGTAATGTAGCCTCCATTGCTCCCATCTCTTGATGAGGGACGTCATGATATATTTCATATGGATGTTAGGTATAGCTCAAGCTTCTGGTGAGCGTGGTGAACGAATGGTTTTGTTTGCCTATGGCGGCAACGTTTCTAGCACCGATGATGAACGTGCTCGTCTCCTTGATACTTCCGACCAGCTTCCCGATCCAGCAGCTGGAAACACTGCGCCAAAGATAAAGCCCAGACCAACAATGCATGCTCGATACTGGAATCCATTCTTCAGAAAGTGATGCAATCACTCTGCTGGAATCACTATTTCGAGTATATGACGAAGCAGTGAGACGGTTACGCTCAAAAGGCAGCAAACCATCTTTTGTCGGATTTATGACATTTGTTGATGCGATGAGTGCTCAGGTTGTTGCTCAATCATTTCATTACCCGATCCCCGGCCTATTGCAAGACAAGTCTTACACCTGAACCTCGTGATATCGTTTGGAGTAACGTTTCCGTCCCTTCGAACGAGAGACGTGTCCGACAACTTCTGGTTTCCGCCTTTACGATTGCTTTATTCGTCTTCTATACTCCACCATTAACGTTCCTTGCTTCTTTGCTCAGTCCAAACACGATCAAGAAGTACTTACCAGGTCTGTACGATCTTCTACGCAAGAATAGACGATTGGAAGCACTGGTCAGCACCAACTTGCCGTCCGTTGTTTTGATCGGATTCAACACCTCATTACCCCTCATCCTCAATGGACAGCATACCTGCAAGGTATCAAAGCGCGTAGCTTGATCGTAATAAGCGTGTTGAAGAGGTATCATCTTTTCTTGATGATGTCCGTCATCTTCATTTTCCTCATCACATCAACCGCACTGGGAGTACTTACCGATCTGGCTGGCAATTCGATGAGAATCATAGATGAGCCCGCTCAATCTTTACCGCAAGCACGTCATTTCCTTTTGTCGTACGTGGTGTTTCACTCATTGGCCATCATACCGTTGCAGCTTCTACAGTTACCGGTCACATTTGGTCGTGCGTTTGGTCAACTGACGGCAAAGACACCTCGTCAACATGCTGAGCTGAATGCACCACCTCAGCTATACACTGGAAGTGTGTATCCTACCGCTTTGATCGTTTTCACTTTGGGTGTCCTTTACAGTATTGTCACACCATTGATCGCCGTCTTCGCAATGATCTACTTTGCCCTGGCATATCTGGTTCACAAGTACAAGCTTTTGTTTGGTTTTCTACGGATCATACGAATCAAGAGGGCAAGCATGGCCTTTGTCATCGATGCGTTGCATTTGGGCTCTACTACTCTTCCAAATATTCCAACTTTCCCTTTTTTTCGGTTCGCAAGCAACTGCTATTGTCAACATTGCCGTTACCGTTGATCGCTTTCACGTTTTGGTTCCAGCATTACCTTTCGCGAACATTCACAGAGTTGAGCAAATATGTCAGCTTGAGCAGCATTGCCGATATCAACAAGCCAAGTCTACAGTCAGGAACAGGAAAGACACAGGCAACGCTGGCATTATCAGCAGAGATCGCTAATGCCGTCGCCAATAATGGATCAACGAACGACAACAGTAAGAAGCAACAAATCGATCAACAAAGAAATCCGATTGTTGCTCTGCGAGCGGAAGCATTGGATGGAATCGATCTAAGTGAGACAGTGTTATCACGAAAACGGTATTCGACAAAAAATGAAACATTATTCATTGCACAAAAAGATTGTCACAGAATACAGAGAATCTCCGGCAGCGGGCTACTATTATGGAATCTTGAACACCGGTCGAAGACGTTATGGACATCCTGCCGTTGCTGGTACATTGCCGGACATTTGGCCTCCAGTATGTGGAGATGATGACGACGAGAAAGATTACAACGAGCAAGATCAGAGCGTATCCCAATCAGACACTGCTGGTTTACCTGCCGATAATAGCGATCGCGGATCATTGACGGGCGTTGGTAGTGTGCTGGGAAGAACACGAAGACAGAGCAGACGTAAGATGTCATCGCCAGAAGCAGGTGAATCGGGAATCAGTGGATTGCCGGCTTCTACCAGCACTTCTACTGAACTAACACACGACCTTTGTTGTATGAGTATCATGAAAATGCATTAAGTGAAATTACATCGGAGGTTTTGGTGGCTTTTTGCTCATCTTCAAATCTCGATAATCCAAGAATAATACCCCGGCAAATAGGGCAGCCATGATTGCTCCACAAGCAATGGCACCGTTATAATAATTGCACCATCCATTTCCATCGCCAGGCGGACATTTTTTACCGAAACCAAGAGCAACAACCACAACGGCAATCCAAATTACGCAAAGGATAGCATCCCAAACGGTTTCCAATTTTAACGTCTTGCGAGCCATCATCCATCTCTTTTGCATTTGCATATTTCCCAACACTCCAACACCGTTCTTTCGTCGCGAAGATCTTCGTGCATCACCCGGCAGACGTTCATCTTCTTCATCATCGGGATCGTCTCTTTTGCCGATTCCTAAAAGAGCAGGATCAACGATCAAATTTACCGTAGGAGCCTGTTGTGCCATCATCATCATCCCTCTCTTACCTTTTCGAAAAGGTTTCTTTTTTGGTCCACCTCCATTTGTAAGAACAGGGATGATCATCCCTCCTAATGGATTGTCGGCACCTCCACCCATCTTCATCTCCTTTCGCATAGGATCACAGCAACATGGTCGAAAGACAAACAAGTACAAGATCAGAACAAGCGTGATGGTCGATGCAATGTACAGGATGTAGGATGCAATCGATCCACGTGCGGCAGGCGCATTGAGTCCAGGTTTGATCAGCAATGCACTCCCTATCCCAAGAGCAAAGCAAGCAATTGAAGCGAAACCGATCAACCATCGAATTCCAGTTTTCCACTTTGGTCTTTCGGTGACTAGTTTTCCGCGGCTGTTGACCGCACCGAGCGGCAAATCGACATCTTCAATTGAATCACTGTCACGTTCATCAAGAGTCTCATCATCATCATCTCCGTGAGAGATCTTTGGCTTGCCAAATTGTTTTTCAAGCATTCGTATTCGTTCCTCTTTGACCATATCAGCAACATTTCCACGTGCACCATACACATGGCCATATGCACCCGGCATCACTCCACCGCTTCGGGTCAACGAATCGGATTCCCATCCGCTTGCACCGTCAGGAGGAGGGACACTGGTATATGCATGTCCGTTTGCTGACATATGCCCATCATACCAGGTTCTTGACCATTGGGGGAAATTTGGCAAATTTTCGCCATGTATTGCTTGTCTTGATGTATTTCCCGGATGATGATGGGGAGCACGTACGCCAAAGAAGCCGGGAACATCTTCTCTGCTGTACACATCACCTGGTGCCGAGCTTGGAGGATGGTGATGATGCCTTGTTTGCGAAGAAGCAACAGAAGGAGGTGCTCCAGCGTACCAATAATAATTGTCCGGAGAAGGTTCACTTTGTGCAAAATATCCAGAGTACATTCCATGTGCAGGAGGATAAGCAGGTGGAGCGGAAGAAGGTGCTGGTGATCGTGGAGATGCGGCATACAAAGCAACATTGTCGAATGAAGTTCTATATCGATTCGAAGAAGGAGGAGGGCTGCTATAAGATGATCGAGGTGGTGCTGGTGTTCTGTTCCATGCGTGCATGGTTGCTATATCATGTTCTTCATAAACGGATTCCCCATCATCGGCCGTATAAGTGGGATACATTTCCATTGTGTATTGGGTATATAATATTGTCGTTAAGAATCGTAAAATAAGTCGTGTCAAAAAGTCATTGTTTTGGTGATATTTAGGTCATTAAAGATATCATGATCGCAAATCCAAGGGAAGGGGATGGATGATGGTGTGTTGGTTGATTGGTGTTGAAGTTCAGATCAGCCGGTCTTGCCCCTGAACAAGACACAGGCGTCATGCAATGTGATATGGTGGTTGCATTACACTGTGTGTGTGTGTGTGTGTGTGTGTGTGATAAAAACACGCGCCTGCACTGCACTGCTGCTACTCGCCGACACGCTAAGGAAATGTCCGAAAATGTTTTTTTAACTTTTTCTGTCATTCATTCTTCCATACATGATGAAAGAATCGATTTGGATTGCAACCGCTTTTGTATTAGTGATCCCGCTTCTCTTCGTCATGAGATCTACAAAATGGTCAGTCAAAGGCAAGCATGTGTTCATAACAGGAGGCTCTCAAGGATTAGGTTTGGCTTTGGCAGAATTGGTCGTGTCAAAAGGAGCAGATGTGACAATCTGTTCACGTTCTCAAGCCAAATTAGAATCGGCTGTTGAAGAGATCAAGAAATTTGCTGAATCTGGTCAGAAAGTCGCTTATGTTGCTGCAGATGTGAGCACTTTCGAAGGTGCACGAAAGGCCTTAGAGCTCGCATCTGGACAAGATCAAGGAAAGGTGGCCAGAGTACCAGATGTAGTGTTTTGTTGTGCAGGTGCATCCAAGCCAGGGTACTTTCTAGAGCAAGACGAATCACACTTTACAGAAGGGATCAAGACAATTTATATGACGGCTCTTTCAACAGCACATGCAGCTACCCAATTATTCGTTGCCAACAAAAAGTGGGATGGAAAGTTGGTTTTGACAGGCTCAACGTTGAGCTTTGTGGGTATTGTTGGATATGCGCAATATGCACCGATGAAATGGGCTATTCGTGGTTTGGCAGAGACTTTACGATCGGAATTCTTGCTTTATAAAGGTCTAAGTGTGCATGCATACTTTCCCGGTACGATTCTTTCACCCGGATTTATCGAAGAGGAAAAGACCAAACCCAAAGTCACACAATCGATTGAAGATGGCGAGAAAGGAGGACAGATGCCAATGCAATGTGCAAAAAAATTGTTAAAAGGAGTTGAGAATGATGTCTTTCTCATCACTTCTGATTTTGATACCGAGCTATTGCGAGTAGCAACTTCTGCTGGAGGTGCATGTCCAGGCAACAATTTCGTGGTAGATAGGATCAAATCCATCATAGCTCTCATAGGGGTAACATTCTGGCGAATATTCACTGCTGATGCTTCTATTCGAAAGTTCGCAAAGCAGAGTCCTGATCAGGTGCCAGGGCTGCAATGATAATCTGGCTAGATTGCAAAGGTGATGGCGAACACAACATCCTTATGGCTTGTGTATATCAGTAGCATTTGGTGGTAACATTGTCATGTTTGATCGTGGGAAGGTGAGATGGAATCATTCTCTCGGATAATGATTACTATCATTGCCATCTTCAAAACCAGTGCTTGTATTCTATACCATTATATATTCATAATATATGAATAATACATGTGATTTGTGTAACAGATTTCCGGCCTGTGCGTCTCGCTCGTGCACCAGCCACCGGGGCTTAAGCTCAATTCCCAAAAGTTTTCTTATCGGTGCGCAAACCCCATAAGCTTTAAGCTATAAGCGGCGTTGATTGAAGGCTAAATTATGCATGCATGCACAATGTTGGGTTGATTATTGGCCGGGGTAATGAATGATTGAATACATAACTGGTTGGTTACGCATTCGTCTTTTGTATTCATGAGCAGGAATGTTCACCGTGCACGAAGCTCAAAAGTTCATTTTGTTCGGCGAAATTGTCTATTTTTGAAGTTGGTTTGAGCATGAATACATTCGATGACCGTGCGTAGAATTGTGCTCTTTTTGCCAGCAATAATTTCATATCCTGTCTTGTTCCTCTTTCCACAATCATCATCGTAACAACCACTCTTGAACGCATTTATTCACAATCATGTTTCGTGCAACCGTTGTTCGTCGATTTGAAGCTGTTGCCCCACGCTTTCAACCACAAAGCAAAGCTGTACAACAAGCAATGCGTCCTACAAATTCAGCTCAATCGAGTGAATCCAGTACATCAGTCACGCATAATGGCGGTGCGATCAACAATCCAACCTCAAAAGGTCGTGTTGCCATGATGCCAGGCACAACAGCAAATATTGAACGTACACAAAAACAAAAGACACAACAAACCAACGTCAACAACAATGAATTCGAAAGTATCTTGACTGTTGGCACTGTTAGTGGTCAAGGTGAAGGTCAAAAGATCTTTCAAACTGCACAAGCTGAAATTTGATCAAGTGAGTTTTGATTTGGAGGCGTAAAGAGTTTACTCGATCTGACATTTCTTGCCTTCCTTTCATGACAGGCTGCAGTCATACATTGCTTTCCATCATAATGTGGTAGCACCTTTTCTCTTTCTCTTTCTTTCTCGCGATCGTAACCTGTGTATATATATATGTTATCTGGCAACCTTGTCAAACAATGTCACCTTCTTCCATACATGAGCCTATCAATTTAGCATGATTAAGAAGATAGTATTGTAATCTAATCTTGTGTTGGGATATGACGTACACGGTACGCCTGGCACGTGTACAGGCGTCACTTGCCGTATCACGCCGTATCACGCCTTAACGCCTGATGCGCCACAAAGGCTGACGAACCACAGTTCTGGTGCCATAATTAGCCCACTTGTTAAATATAAATACTCACATATCACATGTATAATTTACCTACTTTTTCTCTACCTCACTAATTTATTATTATCAATCAGAAAGCAGTGCCTGGAGACACAAAACGTAACATCTTGCTTACCTCAGCAAGGTACACGCGGAGCACCAAATCAAATTCCCAAATGTTGTGATCGGCATTTTGGCAGCTGACACTCCTGACATGCATAAACACGTTTTTTTGCCCTGAGCCGAAAACACGAGGTAAGCGGCTTGGTATTGGCTTGGACTTTGATTAATTTGCTTTGACCCTATTCTTAGCGTTTTGAACACAAGTGTGTGTAATTGAAATTGACTGAGCTAATGACTGTCCAGTAAGATCGTGTGCTTTCATAATGGGCTGATTCTCGTTTGCTTGTCAAACGTAAGAGCAAGGGCAAGATCTGTGTGGAGAGAAAGGAGAGAAAAAAGTGATGACCGAAAGACAGAATGTATGCACAATAGAAGCCGAAGTGATAAGGTAAAAATAGGATGACAATTTTAAATTGCTTTTTTAGCAGAAAACATAACAACTGTAAGAGAGAAAAAAAAAACAATCCGAGCGGAGACGTATGCAATATGAGAAATAAGGCTTCTTACGATCCATTTCATTTCTAAGGGCGGAAAGCGGTGTTGATTTTCCTTACCCGCCGGAGGCGAATCGATGCAATTTGATATTTAATTACGTATTTATATATGTCGTATTAGCAAAGCTCTTTCTTGCTTTCCCACAACCATCATCATCATCCCCTATCCTCCTCGTAACCTATACGAAAATGCGTCTTTTGGCAGCATCTACCGCTCTTTTTGCCGCCTTTGTTGGGTTGGCAAATGCTCAAGTATCTGACACTTCTGGCTTGACGGCTGATTCTCATTGCGGTGAAGGCTATTGCGTTACAGGTATATATGATTCAAAATCAAAGATGGCAAACTATACCCTCGTTGTTCCACAAGGTGGCGCTCCTTTGGGTTGGTATGCTATCGGTCAAGGTACACAAATGGCCGGAGCAAATATGGCAATCAACTGGGTAAATTCAGATATGACAGTCACAACTTCACATAGAAGTACAGGAGGTGAATATCAACCTTTAGTCAGTGCGGTTACCGTTCAAGCATTCAGTACAAATTCCGACGCTTCTAGAACCAAAACAGGTCAAACGACTTGGTCATGGAATATGCCTCTTCCTACCCAATACCCACAAAATGCAGTTCAACACATCTTTGCTGTTGCTTCCGTTTCTCCTTCTTCTTCTGCGGTTAACACAAATTTGGTAAAGCATTATCGTAATGAGCAAGGTATCGTCTTGGATTTCACAAAGCCATACACTGGTGCATCACCAGCAGGAGTTGCAGGATCAACACAATCCACCAGCACCACAATGTCCATGACAGGACAACGTGATTTGGGTAACAACACAACAAGAATCTTTTTGGTTCACATGATTTTCATGATCCTTGGTTGGCAATTGTTATTCCCAATCGGTATTTTGCTCGCTCGTTATGGTCGTACATTCTTTACTTGGTTCCCATACCATCGTGCAGTTATGTGGGCCGGTTTCTTGCTCGTATTTATCGCTTTCTTCTTGGCCATCTCCGGTGTTGCAACAGAAGGTGGACCGCATTTCAGCAATACACACGAAAAGTTAGGATTAGCATTATTCATTCTTGTTATCGTTCAAATCGTTTTTGGTGCCGCTTCTCACGAACTCAAAAAACGCAAAGGATTACGTTATATCGGTTTCGTTCATATTCCATTCGGTTTAATCTTATACGGTCTCAGTGTTTGGCAAATCCATGAAGGTTTCTCAGTTTGGCAATGGAATCCACCAGCCTATGCAAGTTACATCATTTATGCTTGGGCAGGTCTCATGGGCTTGTTGTACTTTGTTGGATTTATCTTCTTACGAAAAGAACTCAAACAATACAAAGAAGAAAAGGTTGCCAAAGATCAAATTTCATCTGATGATGGTCAAAAGGCCGCTGGATCGGTTTAATGCTGTTGAACGCTTATTCCTTTTTTCTTGCCACTTCTTGTATATAAATCTCAAACTAAACTTATTCTTGTTTAGTTATATATAAATCTATATATCCCCCAATGTGATGACCCATTGATTCAACTTCTTTTCACCATGACGACTGACTTGATGTGTGAGTACGCGCACGTGCAATTCAAAATTTCAGATTTTTGGTCATCTTAAACCTTTTAGCGCATCCGATCATTCTTCTTGCATGATTCCAATCAAGCATCGCTGTCAAAAATAATGAGTACAAAGACGAAAAGAGAACGCAACGGATCGATATCTGGTGGAGAAGAAGGGGAAGATGGATATTCAACATCTTCTTCTTATGCTCCTTCGGCAATTGATGTTTCTTTCAATTATGTTGCACCGACAGAGATTGACTTCATGGCATTAAAGAGACTTATACAACAACTTTATCATACTCATTCGACTGATTTGGTTCTAGGACCTCTATCGGATCATATCATTCAGCTTGGAAGACAAGAAGCAGGAGATTCAGCAATTGGAACTGTGGTAAAAGTTGAAGATGATGAAGATGGAGATCCGTTTGCATTCGCCAGTGCGTTGGATCTTTCAAACAAAGAGAGCGAAGCTTCAAAGACATTGTTGGCATACTATAATCGAGTTTTGACACCTTCATCCAAAGCTGCTTCTTCCATCTCATCTCTACTGCAATCCAGTGATGCACGAGTCTTGCAAATCTTTCATGAACGTATGATCAATATGCCACCACAAATCATGCCACCGCTATACAAGATGCTGTTTGAAGAGATTCAATCCAGTCAGCAAACTCCAACGCATCTACTCTTCTTTTCTCGGGTATTCTCAACAGAAGCATTCTCAGATGGAGAAGAAGAAGAGGAAGGTCCTTCATCACGATCAGGAAATGGCAAACAAAAAGGAAAGAAGGCAAAAAAGACAAAACCACTGAATAAAGCCATTACCAAAATGTCAACAGGAGCAAGCGCAGAAGAAGAAGTTGGATTGTTCCATCCTGAAGATGCTTTCATCGCAAATCATGCTTTGCATACATTCACCTTTCGTTTTCCCGCTGTGAAGGATTCAGATGATAGCTTTAATGCACCAATGTATGGTCGAATTGCTATTATCAAAAATGATCCTCAAACGCTACAAAAGTTGTTGGAAGAGATGAATACAGCATTTGCAATTCCTACTTAATCTCTCACATGTATTATATCAAAATCTTATCAATTCATCTCTAGTTATACAGAAGTGTTAAGGTAGTACCCCTTCACCATTTACGTGCCTCCATCCCTTTTGGAGGTTGACTTTTGACTGTTCCCTTTTTGACTTCTTCCCAATTCGTACTTAAAGCCGTTCCGCCTGATTCTTGATAACTTTTCATCATTGCTTTACGTGTATCATCATCTGCGTTTGCATATAATTGTTTGAAAAAGTCATCGATCGAAGCTTCATCTTTGGTACTTTTTCCGGTTTCATTTCCGGTGGTTTTGTTTTGACCGTCTTCCTCCTCTTCATCTTTGAAAGAGTCCCATTTGGATCTCGTACGTGAAGTTGGATTTGGAGTGGATGTACTTGCGACCGTTGTTGAGGTTGTACTACCGCCAGCATCGCTGCCTTGCAACGAAGGCCATTGGATGCCAGGTTGAAGTTTTTGCAAGCTGATCTCCACTTTGGATGGTAAAGTTGTTACACCCGAATTAGAAGTATCAATTGGACCAAACAGAGGTGCGATAACTAAACTCGCTTTTGTTGGTGCATTGATGGTCAATCGCAGAGAGTGATCGTCAGTGTCTAATTGGACATCATCTTGTGAACATCCTTTCACGTATACCGAAACGATTACTTGTGTTGCCGTTTGAAAGAAGTCAAATCTGGGCATAATAAGAGTCAGATACATGCATCCCCACTCAAACATGCTCTCACTTACCTTGGCGATGAAATAGACTCTGTACTGGTGGTCATCTTCGAATGCGTATTCACGATGATGAAGCTGAGCAAAGAAAGGTGTTAAGAAGAAAGTGTTGCACTCCACTCACTTAATTGTACGCGTCAAAAACGGGCTCAGCTACAAGTACCATACTATTGTGCAAATGTCATTACGCCAACCGTTTCTCAAGGCATATACTCGACCATTCAACGTACATCAGACAGACATCCGTCAAACCATTAATGACATGTTGCGCTTACACATCATCTGACAAACTTGGCTAACCTCTTTTAGGATTAAGTCTAATGTTTTTATGAAATATATCACGATGTCACACATATGAGGATGGGTAGAATTCAGACAAACACACCTTCTGTCTGCTTCCCGATGCATATACTCTTTGCTTTACAACCTTTTGCCAATTGAACAATTATCCATACCACTCGAAGTCCATCTGACAGTCATTGATTATCTATTCGGACTTGTACGTTGTGATGTTATCTTGAGACTTGGTCATGATGCGAAAATGGGCAAAGGTTGACTATTCCCGTACTCCTTTGGGCCTTGATTATTCCCATCACGGACGTTGCGCTATGGGTATTCGAAGTAAAATCATCTTGAACAATGTTGAGGCTCGGAAATAGTCAACTTGACGAAAGAAGGCTTTCCATGCTGTGGGAAAAAAGGGGAGAGAATCATCTATATAACATCTCACAAAGTAGAACCCTCCACCATCTGTCGAACCTTTTGCAAGATACTTTCGTCCATCCATGGGAAATCACTCGCCCAGATTCAGGAG